CATATGAGTAGTTGGTGGTCTGTTCCACAATCAGCTCCTGGCCTAATCAATGACTTATTCATATCAAGAGATCACAGTAGTGTGGATAATCCAATTTATCAACACCCATGGTTACTGAAGGGGTAAACCCTTTAGGGATACTTATCTTTCTAGGTATACCATGTGAATCCATATCTTTGGCCTTTATTCTTGACAATTTTTTAATTACAAATTAAGTGCTTCTGATGACTTTTCGCACTAACTCTTCACAATACTAGATTTCCAGCAATTCCCAAGATTAGGGTTAATAAGCATATAGTAGTTAAGCTTCCAAATATCTGTAGAGTAAGTTTTTCTTTTCTGTAAACATGGGTTTTTTTTCTCTAATAAATAAAAACAGAGCAAGAAAAGATTAAGACTAGAGTATGGATGTGCGGTGAGGGAGGTAAGAGTTGTTGCCTGGTAACAGAACTGTAACACACTGGACCAATTATTACACATCATAATTTGATTCCTAGGAAAAACAAAAATAATCTTGGCAGTGATATTTCCATTATAGCACTTCTTCAATGCTCTATTTCATTTATTATTTATTTCTAAGTTTTGCCATTATGCCTTTCCATATCAATGGTTTGTACTTTGCTATATATCACAGGGTTGGTAGTTTGAATCAGCATCAGAATATAAACCTGGTCATATACTTTTCAAAGCCTTACAATCAATGAAAACTCCATGGAGAATAGATATACTCTGAAATCCATAACACTGCCATGAGTTGATATTGCTTTTAGGTTTAATATTTTATGGACAAGCTGGTATTCAGTAAGAACAACAATATAGTGGCAATATATTCACTAGAAATATGTGAATATAATGATTTACTTAAAAGATATATAAACTATAATATGTAACACTTGCTTCTTAAATGAATTTGAATTGACAGAAAAAGTTAATATATATATGCACTCCCACCTCAGAAGCTTGTGTACCAGGCGCTCCATGGGAAAAAGACGAACAATCTCTAGCCATCTGATGAATTGCCTCTGAAAACCCACTGGAGGATCATCTATGACTCAGTTCTGACTAGGCAGTACATAACAACAATAACATGGCTTTATTAGGAGAACCTGGGTTCCACAAATGTTTAAGCATTCAGCTGCCAAATGGTCACATAATAGCTGAATGCATTTGGCAGCTGGGACCCACTCAGGCATTGTGGAAGACAGGGCCGATGACTTACTTCTTAAAGGTTATATGGCCTGCATATCCTTTGGAGCAGTTAAACTCTGCATTGTTTGTATAAGTTCAAATCAACTCAAAGGCAACTAACAACTGTCCTGTTAAATGATCTATCTAATCTTTAGAAGTAAGTCAAATACAGCTTTTACACATTCTAATTTAAAATTCCTTTAAATTCTACTGTGATGTTCCCAAAAATGATAGGAATTTCAAACTTGTTTAAAAAATATAACTAAGATCTAACAAAATGAATGATTTGCTCAAAGGAATATTAAGATCTTGACTAAAATGCTGGGTAGATGCAGATTATTCTGATTTTTTTTTATTCTGATTTATTTTTAAGAAACATATCAGAATTACCTAAATTTAACTCCCAGCTTATATAGACTAGAAAGAACCTCTGGAGAAATAATTCTATTCAATAAGTTGTGCTCAATGTAGTTTACTAACAATCCATTAATTCTTTGAGTTTATTTAAGGAATATGAAAAAATCACTTCCATTTACTTGTTTACAAAAGGCTTTTAAAGGATATTTACATACCCTTTACTCACTGCTTCTGTTCTTGTCTCGGTTCAGCTATTCTTCTCCTTTCCATACAACAGTCTTAAAAATTTCTGTCTGAAGGCCTAGAACAAACCAAGATATTGACACTAAGATGGTGGCACAGAAAAGACCCTTACTATGCATACATAAATAATTCATCAGTTGCACCAATTTTAATACTGCAAGGAAATGTGATATTTGTGTTAGAACTAGAATATTTAGCTCTCACATAAATTCTAAGTTTGTGAGAAATTGACAAACAAGTGATGTTATGTTCCATCTAGTTGACTGCAACTCATAGTGACCCTATGGACCACAGATTTGAAACTTGTCTTAACTTGTGCCAACCTTCACCTACCACTATTAAACTGCGTCACTGACTCTCCACCTCTCTGCATTATATATTTTTCCATTGTGTCTATTTCCTCCTGACATCACATCCAAAATATGAGACAAAATTTCACCATTCTAGCCTGTAAGGAGCACCCTCGTTCTACTTTCTAGAAGACAGATTTGTTCTTTTGGCAGTTCATGTGATATTCAGCACTTTCCTCAAAAAAGACCAAAATCATCAATTTTTCTCCTGCCATCTTTAGTCATTGTTCAACTTTCAGATGCGTAGCAAATACTCAAAAAAATTGGGAAGCTGAATTAGGCATCCAGACAGCCATTTGGAAATCTCTCCTCAAAAGCATTTTCTAACTAGTGCAAGGTTTTAGATGCCACATTTCTTGGAAAAAAGGTTGATAATACATTCTTATTAGGTGCTAACTGCAGTTGTTCAAACATTATTTTTTCCTGTATTCGTACCTTTTACATAAAAAAATTCCCTTTTGTATCTCTTTTTAAGTAATTCCTTTTTGTTGCAGAACTTACGGAAAATTTATTTTTCAAGTTCTAAGAAACAGAATCTGACTACAGTTATCTCTGGAGAGCACTGGTGGCCTCGTGATGAGAAGTTACACTGCAATACCCAAGTTATGGAGTTGGAATCCAGCATGTGCTCTGTGGGAGAAAGATGAACAATCACCTCCCTTTAGATGTATAGCTTTTTAAGGCCTGTTGAAGGGTTAACGATGGCCAACTTGAAGGCACGCAGTACACAACACACACAGCTTTTTGTTGTTTGTTGTTATGTGCCGTCGAGTCACTTGCGACTCATAGCGACCCTATGTACAACAGCCCTAAACTCTGCTCTGTCCTGTGCCAATCGCACTGTCTCTGAAACTCCCATCTCGATTATCGCAGTCACAGAATTAATCCACCTCATAGAGGGCCTTCGCCTCCTGCGCTGTCCCTCCACCCTCCCAGGCATGATGTCCTTCTCCAAGGACCAGTCTCTCCTCACAACATGTCCAAAGTATGTTAGATGGAGCCTCAGAATCCTTGCCTCTAAGGAGCCACCCGGTTTAACCCTTTCCAGGACAAATCTGTTTGTTTTCCTAGCAGTCCATGGTACCCTCAATACTCTTCTCTAGCACCACAGCTCAAGAGCATCAATTCTCCTTCTATCCTCCTTAGTCATTGTCCAACTCGCTGATGCATAACAAGTGATAGCAGACACACCTTAGTCTCCAGAGAGACACCATTGCTCTTCAGTACTTTGGATAGGTCCGTAACAGCAGACTTTGCCATGGCAATGCGCCTTTTAATTTCCTGGCTGCTGGTGCCAAGACTGTTGACTATGGAGCCAAGCAAACTAAAGCTGTGTACAATCTCAATCTCTTCACCATCCATCCTGATGCTGCCAATTGGTCCAGTGGTGAGAATCTTTGTCTTCTTGACATTGAGCCTCAATCCATATTGTAGGCTGCAGTCCTTGACACTCTGCAGCAGGTGCTTCAGGTCCTCCTCAGTTTCAGCAAGCAGGGTTGTGTCATCCGCATAACGCAGATTGTTGATAAATCGTCCACCAATCTTGACCCCACATTTCTCCTCATAGAGCCCAGCCTCCCGGATAATCTGTTCTGCATATAGGTTGAAAAGGTGTGGATATAGGATGCATCCCTGGCGTACTCCCTTCCCAATTTTGAACCATGCAGTGTTCCCTTGCTCTGTTCTGATGACTGCCTCCTGGTCCAAGTATAGGTTTTGCATTAGAACGATCAAGTGTTCTGGGATTCCCATTCTTCTCAGAGTCAGCCATAGTTTGTAATGACCCACACGGTCAAATGCCTTTGCATAGTCAATGAAACACAGATAGACATTCCTCTGGTATTCCCTGCTTTCAGCTAAGATCCATTTAACATCAGCTACAATATCCCTAGTACCACGACCCCTTCTAAATCCAGCCTGGACTTCTGGTAGTTCTCTGCTGATGTGCTATTCTAGTCGTTTTTAGATAATCTTCAGTAAAATCTTGCTTGCATGTGAAATCAGCGAGATTGTTCTGTAGTTTCCACATTCTGTTGGGTCACCTTTCTTTGGGATAGGAACAACTATAGATCTCTTCCAGTCAGTTGGCCAAGTGGTCGTTCTCCAGATTTCTTGGCACAACTTGGTTAGCACATCCAGGGCAGCATCTATGAACTGAAATATGTCAATTAGTATACAAGGTTTTGCACCTTTTAATTTTCGCGCCTTGCCTCTGGAAACTGTGAACTTTGATAAACCGGCAAAGGTTGTGGAAGGTCTTCAGGTCTTTTGTTCATGGAGTCGCTATGGCAATCAACAACAACAACAACAACAATTCTCTCTAGGTGCTCTGGTGGCCTAGAGGTAAGAAAATGCACTGTGATTCCAAAGACACAGGGTTCAAATCGACAGCTGCTCCAAGAGAGAAGGATGGGCAACCAACACCCGTGCTTTTAACTGCCTCTGAAAACCCACTCAAGGGTCAGCTAGCTCTGGGTCGGTTCCAACTCAATGGTACTAAACAACAACAATTTTATCTATGTTGGAGAGTCAATTTCAGGTAGGGTTTTATCATCAAGTAGCTGTGGGGCCCTGTAGCCTGCTTTTCATCCCACCATATATGCCACATTCATCTTCAAATGAAATTCCAGAGATTGAAGGACAGCTTTGTTGTATATTAGTTGTTCCAGCCAATCATCCAAGCGTCCATGCTCCCGCTAAGGAGTACTTGTGGGTCAGCGATGGCCAACAGGCCTTCACCACTTTTGTCTGTCACTGCCTGCAGACTCACAGAACCCAATCTTCCTCTTCCAGGTTCAGAATCTTCCTCAAACTGCGTTTCTTTTCTCTGATTCCTTGGGGGGTAGCAATCTCGTGAGGCCCATGGCTTACTGTCCACAACTTCCCTCAGGAAGCCTAGATCATCCAACTTGGCTGGTAACACCCTGCTTAAGGAACCCAGCTCCCAGGTTCAGGTATAGGAGACAGAAGTCACACCCTGCACTTCCGGACTCAAAAGCCCTGCTGAGAGAGCAAATCTCCTCAGCCCTGGCATGCGAGGCAGAAGGGGCGCCCAGCGCTTCCAGCCACAAAAAGACCCACTGAGAAAACCTACTCTTTTTTTTTTTTTTTTTTTCTTTTTCACTTCTTAAGGTGTGCACTTTTATTCAACTGGTCCCTGGCATGTGAGGGGGAAGTGCTGCCTCCCGCTTCCGGCTTGTGACCTGCCAGCTCCCGTAGGCGCGTAGGCGCGTGCGGCCCTTAGCTGAAGGCCTTATCCTAACGATCTTCTGTGCATTGGTTGAGGCGGCCCCATGTGGATGGAGGCATCTAGCCGCGGCCCGGCAAGGCGGGGCTGGAGACAAGCCCGATTTGCGGGCCCCTGGCGCCTCTGGCCTGCTGCCCTCCTGGTTCTGGCGACCTGCCTTGGGCCTGTATCCATGTCAGGTGAGGCACAGGGAGGGGCGCGGTCTTCAGGCATCAGGCGAGGCCTGCAGAGAGGGATTGCTGGGAGCCCGGTCAGAATCCCCGCCCCGGCCTGTACCTGTTCACTTCCAGCGTGCGGTTTGCTGGAGAGTATTTAAACATTACGTTCTGTTAATTTTGTATCTCCACCACTCACATTCCACTTTCCTCCCTCAAAAAACAGACCCGACAGAGCTAATTAATACCCTCCCTGGCATAGTGAATCCAATGCTCAGCACACTTCTGTCAGCACAAGGTCCTGCAGAACAGCAGGAAACATTATTCGTTCCTGCTCTGTGGGGCCACAGAGGCCATGGGGCGGGGGAAACCTGCGCTCACACTCAGCACACACGACCTTTTCTGGATCAAATCAGAAGAGTAGAACCCGCTCACACACCTTGTTTGCTGGGGACAGGTTCTGAGATGGAAATAGGCATGGGAGTGACCAGCAGATTGTCCAAGCTGCTGGACTGCCTTCCCTGGTAAACACAGTCCCCTTATCTGAGGTTTCCAAACATCTCCCCCGAGAGGTGCTGATGCTGCTGCCAGCCCTGGGCCCCACTGGTTTTAGTTTCTGAACATTTTCAAGAGTAGATGCTTTGGACCCTGAGCCCCACTTTGGGAAGCAGAGCTCCAGAGAAATGGTTTCCTGAGCCTCAGTACTATGCTTCCTCAACCTGAACAATAATTTCATTTTTCTATAGAAGCCTGCAAGTTAACTCTACATTCATATAGAGAGACAGTGTATGGGAAACTTAACATGTAACTAGATGATACAGTTAAAGCATATAGATCTGACGCTTTAAAGTTAAATTGGCAATGAACGAACTCCCTAGTTTAGTTCATGGACCATCTTTATATTTTAATGTGTTAACTAATTTCTTCTTAGTTGATGTAATGACATACTGTGTCTAGTATTCAAATAGATGTCAGCATTAGCTCGAAGCTACTTTGACATTATCCGTGATGGTTGAACGCCATCTGTTGGTTTTAGCTGTAAGCTGCAAGAAGGGCTGGATTCTGTTTTAAATTTTGACATGTTGCCAACACCATTTGCTTTGTTTTTTTGTATCCAGAGAACTGAAACACTTTTCCTATCTCTCAAAGACAATGATGAACACACACTAAAGAAAAGTGTTAGCTTAATTGTGCTGTCATTAAACTATGAAGTTTTAGGTTTAATTATTCTGAGTTCAAATTTCAACTTCTTTAAAAGCAAAGCACCTCCTGAAACTGAGAAATAAAATGCAAAACATATTATTTAAAGTTTTTAAAAATTGCACAGAGTATAAAGAATGAGAAAAATTCTTCAAGACTCTTAAGTATAAAGAGGTTTGGAGATGTATAGGGAAGAGAAATGGGAGACATAGACTGATTTATGATATTCCAAAGATAATTAAAAGCCTAGGTATCAAGAACTCAAGAACTATTATCCTCTATAAATACTAGAATAGTCAATGATTCCTCTTTAATTGCCCTGTAGTAACATAATGCCCCTTAAACATGAGTCATTATTTTATCCAAACACTATAGGATGTGTTTTCTTTTTTTTAGTTACATCATGCAGAGAGTAATGCATCAGACTGTTAGCCTAAACAATAAACAACTCCACCAACCAGCCCTCTCCTGTGAAGATTTACAAGAAACTCAGTGGAGGGTTGCTATGAGTCAGATTGGACTAGATCATATGTTTTTTATTTAATCTTTTGATAAAATAATAAAATCAGACACATACAGGTTATCTTATTTAGTACTGCTATAATAGAAATACCATAAGTGCATGGCTTTAATAAGCAGAAGTTAATTTTTTCACTGTTTAGGAGACTAAAGTCAAAGTTCAGGGTACTTGCCCTAGAGAAAAGCTTCTCTCCCTTTGTTAGAGAAAAGGTTTGTATCTTTACAGGCTCTGTACCTGTGCAGTATTCGTGATGCTTATTCTCTCTCTTTCTCCATTTTTGCTTCTCTTGCTGTTCTTTAAATTTATTTTAAGTAATCTTGTTACAACGTCTCCAGAGAGTTGTCAGGCTAAGCCAAAGATAGTACCTCTCTGGTATATTTAGTCCTCCAGCTGCTCAGAAGCAGCAAGATGGATTATCTTCTTTCTTGCAATTTACAACCTTTTGAAAAACAACTAGAGGGTCTTATGAGTTGATTCTGACGCAGTGGCAGTAAGTTTGAATTTTTTAGTTTTGTTTATGTCTCTAAAGAAATTGATTTAAAACACATTCTGTACTAATCCTATTTCATTATCATAAGAAAGACAGCACATTCTCAGATGAGATTATTTAACAGGCACAAAGTCAAGATTTACAATACAGATTTGGGGGGTATAATTAATTCCATAAAAAGAATATAAGAAATAGATACACTATGAATATTAAAGAGCTTATATTTATGTATAATTTTGCAATTTAAATGCTATTTTATCTACTTATTATACAACTGTTTAAAGCTGGAATTACTAATAGTATCATTATGTGAATAGGAAAACTTCTAGAGCTTCCCCAAGTAAAGCAATAGTTAAATCAAAAGACATGTATTGGGAAAATTTGCTGTCTGGGACCCTTCCAGAGTGGTAAAGGGAAGTGTGACAATTGAAAAACTAACATGTGTCTGATTCAAGCCATTGCGTTTTCTTTGCTTTGTGTGTATACACTGAAAAGTTAAAAAGTGAAGAATTATGATAGAAGAAGATTAAATTCCTTTTAATTATGATGTTGGACGAGAGTGCTGAATATCCCATGGCCTTTCAAAAGAATAAACAAGTCTATTTTAGAGGAAATGTAACCAGGGTGCTTCTTAGAGACAAGGATGGTGAAATTTTCTGTTACAAGAGAGTTACTGTGATATATGATAGTGGTATTGTTAGGTGCCATCAAGTCAATTATGGCCCATGACAACTCTGTGAACAATGGATCTGAACTTTGTCCTATCCTATTCCATCTTCATCATCTCTGATGTACTTGAACCTATTATTACAGTTACTGGGTCAATCCATCTTCTTGAGGATCTTCTCCTCTTGTCACTGATCCTTCATCTTCCCAAGCATGATGTCTTTTCCAAGAACTGACCCCTAACAATATGCTCAAAATAAATGAGATGAAGTTTCACCATCCTTGCTTCTGGAAGCACCTTGGTTGCACTGTGTGTAAAACAAAATCATGTACTATAGCAGAAATAAATGAAAAAGACAAGAGGTCTAATCAGGAAGGAATTTATGATTTGGTTGTTGAAGTGGCATGGAATTGAAACTTTGAAAATAAAGAGTGTTTTTCTGTGTGGATGTAAGAAAAGCTAGAAATGAGATATAGTAGAATGTGAAAGCAGTAATTAAATTTATTTTTTTAGGAGAAATAAAAAGGAATAAAATTGGTGTAGAGATATCGGAATTTCTACAAATTAATAATAGTTTCTCATGTTTGCTTTTAATAGTTGGTGATTCGATACAAATGCCAAGAGGATTTCGTTTGTCCCAAGATTTGGTGAAAATAGTAGGTTCACCTGTTTTTCCAGGTATTTATAAGTAAATTTTCTGTAATTTTTAGAAAATAATTACCACTTATTTGTTTTTCTTTTCTCCCAAAGGCTAAAATTTGTAACATTTCTACTTTTTCACTCTACAAAAAGAATTTTTTTTCCATTCTATAGAAATGGATTAAGGTTGTTCCCACATATTTAGGTATAACACTAGTTTAACTAGCTAAAGCATGCAAAAGGTAGTACTTTCTAAATATTTTTCTGGTTAAAGTTACCCATGATATCTTTGCATTAGTATGGTGAAGAGACAGCACAGGAGAAGAAGACCTCAGATCAATTTCATTAATCTATTTGTTTGTTGCTGTACCAACACCATGCTGCCTTGACCATCACAACTTTTTAGTAGTATTTGAAATTAGGGAATATTTTCCGAAATACTTTATGTAGAATTGGTGACAGTTCTTTGAATGTTTGATAGAACTCACTAGTAAGACCATCTGGTACAGGGCTTTTTTTAAATTGGAAAATGTCTTATTACCTGTTCAATTTCTTCTTTGTGTTGGGTCTGTTCAAGTGGTGTGCTTCAATCTGTGTCAGTTTGGATAGATTGTGGGTTTCTAAGTATTTGTTCATTTAGGTTCTCATTTGTTTGGGTATAATTTTTCACAATACTCTGTTGTTAATCTTTTAATTTCATTTGATTCTGTTGTGACATTGCTTCTTTCATCTCTTATTTGAATTGTTTGCCTCTTTCTTTTCCTTTGTTATCTTTGCTAGTGTTTGGGCAATTTTATTTACCTTTTTTAAAAACCAACTCATGGTCTCTTTGCTAATTTCAGTTGTTTTCCTGTTACATTCATTTCTGCCCTAATTTTTATAATTTCATATCTTTTAGAGGTTGTCAGGGTTTTTTTTTTTTTTTTTTTTTTTTGGCTGTTCTTTTTCTGGTTATTGTGGATGTTGAGTTAAATAATCATAATTTTTTTCTTCCCTTTTGATGTTTGCTTATTGCTATGAATTGACATCAAAATATGGCTTTTTCTGTATCCCAGAGATTTTTGTTAAATTGTGATTTTATTGTTATTTGTTTAAAGAAACTTTTAAATTTTTTAAATTTTATTTCTTCTATTTCCCATTTATGTTCGAGCATGGTATTGTGCAGCCTCCAGTTGTATGGTTGGTTTTTTTGTGGGTTTTTTTTTTTTCCCTCTCTTTTATCCTCTTGTTGATTTCTAGTTTTCTAGAGCTCTGGTCTAAGAAAATGGTTTGTATTATTTCTATGTATTTTAAAGTATTGAGACTTGCTTTGTGACCCAATAAATGATCAATTCTGGTGAATGTTCTGTGTGCACTGGAGAAGAATGTAGACTCATCTTTTAGGGGGTGCATTAGTCTGCATATATCTGTAAAATCAAGTTGGCTGATTGTGTGGTTTAATTCTTTTAAGTATTTTCGTTGAGTTTCTTTCTGATAGTCCTATCTTTCCTTGCGAGTTGGGTATTAAA